CGTTATGGCTCATCAATCAATGTCAATCGACGTTAAATCGATGTCGATTCAACCAATCATTTCTTGGTGAGTTGCTTTGACGTTGAATCAATCTTGAATCATCAATGAAAGAGGGTTGACATTGTAGGAATATCGACTTTCTTATCAACTCCAACCATGCTGACAACCGCATCGACGTTGAATCAACCTTGAATCAAGGTTACCTTTCTGACTGGGCTTGAATTGGACGCGACAGCAGCAGCTCGCGGGAAGTCGGAAGTAATCACGAACGATGTCGCCGTGAGAAATGGCAATCAGCACGCGATAAATGAATTTCTGCCTGCACGCCGTGGCGTATCCCTCGGCGAAACCGTCGATTAACCTGCACTTAGCATCCTCCTCTCTGAAAATAGAACACATTGCGACATTCCTCACAACGTTCTATTTTACTCGAGCCCTACGATTTACATTCTATTCTATGCGTCTACTTCTATATATCTAAATTCTATTCTAATCTATATGCTCATTGTACAATTTTCTTATTCGTATTATATGTAAATATTAAAGAATTGTGAAATTTATAGCGACTTTTCTTCACTCACCTGCAAGTTTCAACTCGTAAGCTCTGACGGAAATTTGTCTCATTCGACTGAAGGATGTACAGCCACTGACCTTTTATGTTTATACCCACTTTTGGAGTAATTAATTTCTCCTAGAATTTTATGCCGTTAATATTTTTTAGAACTACATATACGTCACATGCGATAATAGATCACAATTCAAAGATGATTTTACCGTGGACAGGCAAAGCGGTTCTTCTTCGACGTCGGATCGTGGCGCAAGTCCAATCTATCAACAAAAGAAAATCTCGAATCAACATTTCCGCCAATTACGAGAGCAACTCATAATTATGTGCCCACTAACAACGTCCTCTTGTGCGTAATTTAGCAGGCTGGGATTTTTGGCGATCATCCTGTTCACAAAGTCCTGAGGATAATGCGGGACATCCTCGCAGAAAGTCTGTCCCATGTGAGCGCAACGTGGCACTTGTACGTAATTATCGCCGCCACTTCTCGCTTGCCATAAGTCCGAGGATCCAGGGCTGTTCTCGCTAGCGTATGTATCTGTAATTGCACCCACCAAAGTATGAAATTTAAACCAGGATTGGGAAGTAACTCGTTACTTGTAACGAAGTTACAGTTACAGTTACTTTTTTTTGATGAATTTTAAATTAAATAACTTTTAACGGAGTATAATCGCGTTAATATATAGCTAAAATATATTATTGTAGAACTTCACACGTCACCTTCAGGCTCGCCATACGATTCCTTGGCTGTTTCATAGGTAGCGGTTGTTGGGTTCGTCAATCGTCCGTCATTAACGTGATTATCGTAATACTGTCTATAAGAAAAATGCCCATGAAAACGTTCCCCAAGAGCAATCTGAAACGGAGAAATGCGTTTCTTTAATCCTCCCTGTTTCTCCAGCGCGCCACCATTTCTCCTTTACTGATGCAATATGTCGCAATAATGTCACGATTAATAACTTTAAAATCACATTTTGTTTTCTAGAAAAGAAAATAATTGATAATACATGATTTATCTTGAACGGGATCATTCGATATTACATATCGGAGAGATTGATTTTTTCGACAATCATGGTTTATCTGATTGCGCAAACGCGTGTTTTACTTGTATCGCAGTTAGGTATCGCCTTTCCCTTTATTCTTACTTATTTCTTTTCGTTGATTATAAACGCCACTACATTAATTAATATTTTGACATTAGAGCTACCATTTAACACCGTTAAACAGCGTAGCAACATCTCATTGAAGACACAAACCGCACCTTCAACTTTCCAATGATACCTTCAAAGAAATGACGTTTCACGTACCGGTATAACGACGAGAAGCTCCGTCAGAAGTGCTACAGCAAGTTTTCCCATTATTAAAACTCTTCTTTTCACTTACTCGTACGATACGATACGGGTAAAAATAACGAAGCAAACTGTGCAAGATATCAATGCTACACAGAAGCAGACGGTGACTACGCAGCTTGCGAGCAGCTCTCGAGCAACTCTTCGTGGACTACTGATTTGGATACATGACGACTTCCGATCGCAAGCCGATGTCGGTTTTCTCTTATCGGCCGCACTATTATCTGCTTCCGAGCTGCTTTATCTGCAATCATCAATCGCGTCAGAGACTGGTCGTTTGCATTTTTTTCACGATGATATAGATTAGCTTATCGTAGGATGGGAAAACTGATCCGACGAATCCGGCGAGGAAGATGTACTCGTCCAGCGAGAAATGAAAAACTTAAAGGAGCGTACGGTAGTTCCCCACTGACGGAATAATGTCACAAAACAACGTAATGACGTCTAGTTTGGTTACAAGGTACCTTTTTATTATCTTCTGATATCAATTTCTTGGATTAATTTCTCGAAATTACGAAATTCACATTGTTGAAACTTGGAGGATAAACTTGGTGAATGCCGAATTCATTGTTTTTCGTTTAATTTTCCGTACCATTCAGTTTACCATCTTCAGCTAAAATAAATTGTTACTGGTATGTTATGGTCTGTGTCCACGATGCTAGAACTTGGTCCAAGTTCTAATTTCGAGAAATGTGTAGCCAATCAACTGGCAGCTATTTGTTGTGCCGTCGACTTGGTCGGAGCACGGGATTTAGGGATCGTTGCCGTAATTACACCACGCGGTCGTAAAAGGCCATGTGCCAATATATCAATCAATATCTTCTTTATTAAAATTTATGCAGCAACGTACACTCGTATGTTTTATTTAAAACTGACCCACCCTGCTTTCCTTCCATTCGTTTTTATAGTTAGGTTACTCGGACCTGTCGTCAGGTCGTTTCTCCATTAATCAGCAGTGGGCTCGTTAGGTACTGTCGACTCGGTTCCGATGGGCTATTGCCCCATCGCCTACTTCTTTCTTCTCACGCGGCAGTTATTTGAGACTCTGCCGCTTGCGATATACTTGTGATGCAATGATGCGGTGTTTCGCACTCATTACATATATTCCATAAAAGCTGCACGTTGATTGGCTACACATTTCTCGAAACCAGAATCGTGATTCTAACATCGTGGACACAGGTCTTTGGCAGTTTGCCAGCAAATGCAAGCAGATTATTACAGTAGATTGACTACATCAACCACTTTGGCTATTCCGTTAGCAGCTCTGCTATTCTTTCGATAAAATTTACGGCAGACACAAAATGTGTTTTCAATATGCCTTCAAGAGGTTCGTCCATCAGTTCACGTAGGATTTCGCAGCATTTTTTCTATACGCGCTCATACATGTGTAGCACATGGAAAATAATGTATTAACAACGTTAGTTTCATTAAAATAATCTTGTTAATTTAATAACAGTATTAGTTAAGCAAATAATATTTTATTAAACCACACACAAGAGCATGACATACTTGTTTTATCAATAGTGTTATTAAGCTAACAAGTTTATTTCTTATTAAAAGTTACGATTAAAAGGATAACGTTAACTTTTTTCCGTGTAAAATTAAATTTCAATATCATTTCATTAATCATTTCATTTCACCTATTCTCAAAATTGCGATTAATATTTCATGCAATTTATTCTTAAGAGGAAATCTTTAATCTGACAATACAAAGTATATGAAAAATACAAAAACTGCACAAGTACGTTGGCGATAAAGCAGCAATTTACAAATTGGTAGGTTGCCACAAAATTTTAAAGGTGCTTCTTTAGCGGAAAAGCGGT